TGTGGTGCTGGCCAGATCTGACCTCCCTACTTCAAACAAGGCCAGTCAAAGCCTATTTCAGTCTATCACCTGCTGGCTTTTCTTTCTTTCTTTCTTTCTTTCTTTCTTTCTTTCTTTCTTTCTTTCTTTCCTTCCTTTCTTTCTTTTCCTCTTTTTTTTTTTTTTGTTGGTGGTAGTGGGGCCTGAACTCTGGGCCTGGGCGCTGTCCCTCAGCTCTTCAGCTCAAGGCTAGCGCTCTACCACTTGAGCCACAGTACCACTTCCAGCTTTTTCTGCTTATGTGGTGCTGAGGAATCGAACCCAGGGCCTCATGCATGCAAAGCAAGCATTCTACCACTGAGCCACCTTCCTAGTCCCGCCATCATCAGCTTTCTAAGTGTTGAAAGCAAAACAACAACAACAAAAACAGAAACGCACCTTATACAAAAAGAAAATCTTTCCTCTAAGAAGTTAATGAGTCATAGTAATCAGGGAAGGGTGAGTAGGACATTGATTCTTTCATAGTCCAAATGGGGAATGAAGTGGGGAAACAGAAGCTTGGGATAATGGAGGAAGCAAGCCAAGTGGCTTATGTCTTAGACCAGCTGAGCATTTGTGGAATAACTTACATAAAGGTGTCATACCACAAAGTTTACATACATACATTCCTTATTTGACATTTATAGACTTTAAGAGAATCTTTCTTTTCTCTTTTTCAAACAGAATACCAAACTTAAAGATACTGGGTGACCATTAAAAGGCCACAAGTCTACAAAAGAGTAGATGTGATTTACAGATACAGGTATTTCTGATGCTAAATTTCTTCCTTTTTCCACCAAGTTATGTTAACTTGATTTAGACATTTTTCGTAGATGGTTGCTTAAGACCATCTAGGAGAAAATCTGATCTCACAGAATTCAGGCAAATTAGTGCCTTTCAGATCAACTTGTCAGAAACCTTTCATTCAAGGGCACCTACGGCTCCATAAAAATTTTGCTATGTTATTATTTACTAATGTGTTGTTATTCCCAAGTAGTTTGTGGATTCATACATTGTGGCAACCTGTTTTGTTTACCTTCTTATTTAAGTTGAAAGAGGCCCCATACAATATTGGTTTATGAACTAATGAGCTTTTTATAATACTATTAAAAGTATATGAAATATAAACTACAGTAGTATTGTGTTGATTAAATCTATTATCATAAGTGAAATTATAACATAAACAACATCCAATCAATATTAAAGAAAATATTGACTTTACCTACTACCACTATTAAACCATCCTATTTGAATTTTTCATTGCCTAAGGGTTAACAGTAAAAGATAAAGAGCAATACCATAATTCACTAGACTCAACCACTCTTGAATCAATGATTAAACAGACCTCTCTATACTTCACTTGGGGGAGAAACGTGTGTGTGTGTGTGTGTGTGTGTGTGTGTGTATCTGTGTCTCTGTGTGTGGTATCTTATTTAATGGATATTGTAAAGATACAGTGGCCAAGACACAATATACATTCAACATGAAGTCTATTAAGTAAACAGCACTATCAGTGAGCAGAGAAGGCTTGGTGGAAAAAAAAATGGGGGTCCACAATGACTTGAACAAGGACAATTCAGAAGAAAGCTTCACAGTCCAGGGGATCCAGGTAGCATGGGACAGCTCCTTAGGTGTACTTAGGGCAAGAGTAGATGAGTCAGGGGAAATATGGATTTTTACTCTCGTCATAGTTGGAGTTGGTCCCAAGGCACTGATAATTACAGCAAAGTAGGGCATACTCTTATAAGCAGTAAGGACTCACATACAGATTTTGAGCTGAGGAATGTTGCTTGGCAGTATATTTTGGGAATACAGCTTGAGCAATGGCTTGCCAAATGAACTGTGTGTTGTAGGAGTTTGTGAACAATGTTGGTGGTGAACAGAAGTGAGGTTGATTGTCATATTGAGTAGCTGTTACTTAGGTTAATGTAAGTTGTAGGAAAGAAGCAATTAAGTCTATATAGATGGAAAAGAAATAGGCTCTAAATAGATAAGAAAGAACAAGGCAGTGTGGGTGACCACCAAGTAGAGACTCTATGAAGAAGCTGCTGAGGAATGGATGATCACTTATCTACAACTCAAGGGGAACATAAGATAAAGCCAGAGGTTAAAACTGTAGTTTCCTGGAATCAAAGAATATTAGTCTTACAATAAATATATACTGTAGGGCTGAGAAGATGGCTCAGTGGTAGAGTGCTTGCCTTGCATGCATGAGGTCCTGAGTTCGATTCCTCAGCACCACATAAGCAAAAAGAAAAATGCCGGAAGTGGCTGTGGCTCAAGTGGTAGAGCGCTAGCCTTGAGCTGAAGAGCTGAGGCACAGCACCCAGGCCCAGAGTTCAGGCCCCACGACCGAACCCCCCCCCCAAAAAAAAAACAATAAATATATACTATAATCTTTCTCACTAGAACATAAATCTAAGATAATCATAATACTTGCCCCCTAACCACCTGCCTAATAAATGTTTCTCAGTATCTAGGATTTGTAAAGCACTCGGCAAACATTTTCAAGGATCTTAATTAGTAGCGTACAAAGGAAGGGAGAGAAAAGGGCAGAGAAAAGACAGAAGATTCTGGAAGAAAGGCCCTCTGAGAAGTGGGTTTCGGCATGTACAACACAGCATGTAAGTCCTACTCTGCCTCAGCTTCTGGAAACTTCTCAATGCCACCTTTTATTTGATAAGCATTTCTAAAACTACTAGAAGCATGCTTCTTTTGTTGATCTACCCCTGAGAGCAGTGCATATATACATATGTGTGTGAGTGTGCAGCATGTGTGTGTGAGCGTGCAGCATGTGTGTGTGTGTGTGCATGCGCGTATGTACAGTGGGTCAAGAAAAACAGTTATGTCAGTATTTTTCCCTTTTGGATGCTTTTCTTAATGACTTAAGCTGACGTAGGAGTTTCTCAGAAAGCATTGGAAACACTTGAGCCTAAGGAGATTTAGAAAAGAAAAGAAGAGAGAGAGAGATAGAGAGAGAGAGAGAAAGAGAGAGAGAGAGACGGAGAGAGAGAGAGAGAGAGTTTTCCCAAGGTGATTTGCTTTGGAAAGAGGATTGTGAAGGAAGTTCATTTTTTTCACTTCAAACTTTCAACAAAATGCACAGAGCCTGTTCTTCTTGCTGCCTGCTGCTGCCGCCATGACAATGACAGCAGCACAGAAGAGCTGGCAGCCACTGCCACAACAGCTGGGCACCTTCATCCCCAAGCCCCAGACTGTACAACGGTGGCCACAGAGTTAAGAGACCAGACAGACAAGAAACTGCATGCTTCCTACCTCTCCTCCCTTTTCTTGTTTGGAAAGCAAGCATAATGTAGCTTTGTAAAGGAAACATTTCTTAATTTTCCTTGACTCAAACACTGAGCAGACTCCCAACTATAAGACTTTGCAACAGAAGAGAACACTTCCACAGCCCCCAGAAGATGCTGGGTGGAAGTTCTTTCCTATGTATGCTTTGCACCTGCTTGCTTGTGGTGTTTTTCTTCTGGAGTACTGTCTTCCCCTCTTGATATTTAAAAGGAAAAGATGAGATCAGAAGAGCAGCCTATTTCTGTACATTTCTGCATGGCTATGTACATTTCCTTTTGGAGGAGAAAAAGTTTGAAAGGTTAAAAAAATGCTCTTGCTCTGGCCTTCAAAGAAATATTAACAACTCCCTAAAATACCTCATATTATTGCTAAGAGGTAGGGGAAGAAGAAAAAAGCAAGGGAAATGTCTTTTAAACAGTTAGTCCTTGAGCTTCTTTCAATGTCTGTTGCTGTTCTTTTCTCTATCAATGATGTAATCTGACAGCATCCATGATATCACCATAGATCTATAAATTATGAGATAAATGTATGCACCCCACACTTAATTTTCTTTGTGATTGAGATAGCATATAAGATAATACCTGTGCTGCTAATATATCATAACAGTCTTAGCTTACATTTTAGTGACTCAAACCACAATTAGAAAAGGATTTATTATTCCCACATATTTGTGCACTTGATTTTTCTTATTTTGTTTTCTTTTTATTATTTGTTAGTTCCAAAATAAGACATGCTAACAGAAACAGGACAGATCAAGTAAAATAGAGACAGGTATAATCCTAGGTACCATTCAATCCAGCTTTGAATTAAATTATTGCCTCACTATACACGATGTTAAGATTATGATTTAGTTTGTACTTAAACAGCCATTCCACTTACTTATCCTTATTTTAAAGTACTTTTATGCAAAAAAGTATTTAAAAGTATTCTTGTACACAAGTTTTTCTGAAAACATTTCATTTTCCTTAGGATGCAACCTTTAGCTTCCCCAAAGAAGTCAAATTCAGAAATGTCTTTAGTTTCTTTGACTGAACATAACTTGTTATATGTTTTTCTACTTCCTGTTCTTTGCACTTTCTCAAAGCCATGCTCTGATTTATTTGCAAAATCAAGATGATTGCAATTCTTAGTCAATGTTAATAAGGATAGCTGAAATACTCCTGAGGAGTCACCATACATAATCTGATTATCAAAAATTTTCTCAATAAGGCAAGTGAGGCACTGATTAAGAGCCAGACCCAAACACAAAGTGGGTGGGACATAGAACATGTATTTGTGAGGGACCGATGTCAAGGAATCAGAACAGAGATACTCAATGTGGGTCTGGAAAGGACCCAAGAGAGCTTGGCCCCTCCTTACTGGGTGGTCTGCCCAGTTTGCCTACCTCCCTATGAGTCCTTCAGTATCCTGGTGATCCAACAGCATCACCATTCCCCGAAACCCACCTTCATTATTGCCAGACAATAATGAACAGGTCAATAAACACCATGAAAATTCAGTATGCACAGAGACATACCCAATACACTGGTGAATAGCTCCCACCTCTTCCTTTCTAAACTCCCATTTAATCCAAGCAGAAACCCATTTTAAAGGCATCAAATATATGTCTGTATACACACACACATATATATGTATGTGTTTATATAAAGGACATTGGCATATCATCTACCTACCTTTCCGAAAACTAAAGCACCTTTTGATTCTTCGGTATGTTGTTTTAGGAATGAAAGGAGTTGATGCTAAGGCCCCTGAGGGGCGACCCCCAGAATTTCGATCTTCAGGCATCATACAGGCCCCAAGTTCTCACCCCAGTCAGTCTTGTTCAGGCTTCTTTAAAACCTGCCTCTGTGCAGAACTCCACAGACACTCCTTTGCATGTTTGTTTATTTGTGAGGATTGAAGTGCTGATTACTAGAACTCCAAGGTTTTAATGATCCAGGTCTTGGCTCAAGGGTAAGTTACCAATTCTCACTGAGTCATTTCTGGGGTAAAAGAAATCTCCTTCCTTTAGTTTTCTCTAATCCAAGGAGTTTTTTAGGTATTCTTTTTTCTCTTTCTTTTCTTTCTTTCTTTCTTTTTTTTTTTTTAAGAATTTGGAGACATTTCAAAATGTCACAGAAAAGTACTGCAGCAAGCAAGCTTCACCTCTTATTTGATCAGCAGGAATTGTTTAGTTTGGTTTTGTTTTATTAAGAACTATCTTCTCAGCTGGACTGAAATTCCTTTGGGGAAGTCAGCAAATAGGGGGGGAGAGGAATAATGAGCAAAATCCCCTCTGGAACACTTCAGGACAATCCTTGATGGCTCCTTTCATCTGAGCAAAAGGGCAGTAAAACCATGGCACCTTCTCCAGAAAGCTGCAATGTTTCCGTGCATGACAGATTCCTTGCAAAAGAACTCTCCTGCTCCTTTTACAGCGCCCCTCAGCCTTTGATGGTCTCTGCGGGGCTTTTTCCTTCCGGCTTGCAACTCCCCCAAGGAATCACCTCGTCAGAATAGTCCAAAGCCTACTCCCGCCGGAGGCTGCGCTGGGAGGAGGCTCTGGGTTTTGCAGGAGCTTCTCCTCCTCCTCCTCCTCCTGTCTGCTTCTGCGCCCCTTTTCTCAATGAGAGCTGGGCGGGAGCTGGCAGGGCTGTGGCTAGCCTCACAGCTGTGGTTGTTGCTGCTGCTGCTGCGGCTGCCTTCAGTGCCTGCTGGTCACAGGCAGCAGGTGCAGTCACAACATGAGGGGAGGAGGGAAAGCCATGCTGCACTGTGAGTCCCTTCCCTCTTGTTTTGACTTTGCATTGACCTTGGATCTCTAGTCTGGTGTAGCACCTTTACAGCTGGCTGGCTCAACTCTCCTCCCCTCCCCCATTCCCTCCCTGATATTACACAGCACCAAACTACTTGGGGGGGGGAGGGAGACTTTTCAGCCCCCCCATACTTTCTCTCTTCCTACACTAAATTTTTTATTTTCCAAATATTGTGCAAACGATTCAGTCCATCAGTACATGTCATGTCAATGTACCTATCCTTAAAAACACATATCTTTCATAGATAGGTATATATGTGTCTATAAAATTTTAAAAAAGCAAACACAATAGCAGGGTGTACAGGTATCATTGCAAGAAATCAATTTATGCATGTATGTATTGCTGTACATACATATTTATTTCACTGGCTATTGTCTAATAATTTGACATTGAACATTTCCCCCATATTCCTGCATGAAGCTTCTCTACTCCAGGACCCCCTTCCCCCTCCATGTCCTCCAACCCTTTCAATCTTCCTCACTAAATAATTTACTCACTGGGTTAATCATTCATTTACCTGGCTGTTCCACAGTAGATTTGGAATGCTAGTGTTTTAACCCGAACTGACCTCCATGGCCTCTCTCTCCTTTTCAGCCTTTCAGAAGGGCCTGCACAAAACTGTGACAAGTGTTAAGAAGCTCCTTCCATTCCCATCATCTGACCAGCAGGCTGGTCAGGTAACTCTGTCACCGAACAGACCCCGGTGAGTTGTTTCTGCTCCAAGGTGCAGATTTTGCCTTTACCTGTGGTCTCACAGCTTGCTGTTAAGAAGAGCAAGTCACCCAGTCTAAGCCAGCACTACCAAGATAGAGGAGATGCTCAGAAAGAGCATCTGAGCCAACTGGAAATTTACTGACCTGTATACTGATCTGGAGGGAGATGGCTCACCACCGGACTTTAGAAGTGGGAAGTTAAAGAAAACATGTCCAACTTTCTTATTTTATAAGTAAGAAAACGAAATGTGAGAGAAGGTGACTTGTCTATGCAAGATCACATATCTGGCCTCAAACTGAGGCTAAATCACATGGATTCTGTACTTTGGTATCAAACCTGGCTTGTTAGGGCCAATAGTTATTCATTGTGAATAGAATTGCTATTGTCTTGCTGGATCTCTGACTGGATTCTTTTCATGAAGAAAGGAACCACACACACACACACACACACACATCTAATGAAAAACAATAGATTCCTACTCTACTCATCCTAGTCTGGGTACCTCCATGAAAATTCCCTCAAAAAATAATTGGAAAGAAAGCCAGTGAAAATAAACCAATGAACACAAGGAAGAAAAAATGAAACTAAACTCCAGAAAAACTAAAAAGAAATATGTTGTGACAATCCAATTTCACATTTTATTTATTTATTTATTTATTTATTTGGTGCCAGTCCTGGGCCTTGAAGGCACTGGCCCTGAGCTACTTTTGCTCAAGCTTAGTGTTCTACCACTTGAACCACAGCTTGGGGTCTGGCTTTTTGGTGTTAAATTGGAGATAAGGGTCTCACAGACTTTCCTGCTTAGGCTCACTTTGAACCAGGACCCTCAGATCTCAGCTTCCTGCATAACTAGGACTACAAGCTTGACAAGCACTCAGTTTCACATTTCATTTTTAAAGAGACAGTGTGCCTTTAAGCCTTGTTCACAGGGAACTACCTGATTATGGATGGTTTTACACTGATTACAAGGTTGAGGTATATAGTGTCAATATCAAGGTTTGTTTTCAAGCTACATTGTTGAAAGGGAATATGTAAATTTTGTACTTCCATTGATTATTTTCTCCCATTTGAACATTTGTTGTAAATATTTGTTATTTTAATGAAAAGTTTTATGTTTTATGATTTTGTTTTTATTACACAGTTGTTAATTTTAGGCAAGTGAAATGCTAAGCTATTATAATGTCCAAGAGGAAGACATTTAGCAGTCATATGCAACCTAAACAAAAATAAGATTAAATGCCTACAAATTTAAGTTTATAAAAACACAAATTATGCCACATCCACAGAATTTGCCAGCTCTGTAATTGATATATTTCTAATGTATCCAAATGTGGTGTACTCTAAAGTTTAGACAGATAGGTCAGCATCTCCTCCAAACACCTTAACAGAAGGTATTTAAGCAGTAACCGCGGCTGTCTGTGAGTAGTAGGAAGGAAGATGGAAAGGAAGACATCTTTGTATAGGAATGATGTTCTGGGGTTCATAACTAAGACAGGAAGGGAAGTATATTCTCATATGGAAGGCTCTGATGTCAACCTGTGTACTTTAACAGTTTTGTTGATTTATAATTCATATGCCTCAGACTCCACTCATTTAAAGTGTATCATTCAGTTTTTTTTTAAAAGAATATTCACTTAGTATATGTGGAACCAGTTCTAAAACATTTCCATCATCTCAAAAGGCAATTGTATATATTTTGGTTATCTTTCTCCTGTACTCCAACTCTCTGTGGTAACCCTACACAATCACTAATCTATTCTCAGACTCTATAGATGTCTGTGTTCTATACTTCCCTATGGATGGAATCACATAATGTATGGAATTCTGTGACTGGCTTCTTTTACTTAACATAATGTTCTTAAGACTCATGCATGACGCAGCATGTGTTAGTGCTTTTTTTCTTATGGCGAGCAAAAATTCACTCTATGGATGTTCAGACATTTATCACATAATAATGGAGAAAGGTTCTAAGAAACAAGTTGCTAGGCAATTTACAGAGTATTCACAAAGTAAGTTGGCTCTGATGTCCCTAGGTGAACATATCTTATAGAACCACTCTTATGGGATGCAGTTGTCATTGACCAAAATTTTATTATATGGCACATGACTATGCTATGCATAGTTCATCCATGGATAGAAATTTGGTTTGTTTTTACTTTTTTGGGGGGGATCTTTTTGAGCTGTCAACTCATCTATTTTTGAATAACTGAAAATTTTGCATTAATATGCTAAAGTCTATGCTTGATAAGGTGTGAACTTGTAACTGAGGACTTTTTATTTTTATTTGTATTTATTTTTATTTTAAAGGTGAGGAACAGAGAGGTTGCAGTTACATAAGTTAGGTCAGGAGTACATTTCTTTTTGAACAGTGTCACCTCTTTCTTTATTTTCTCCCAGGTTTCTTTTCCTTCCCAACTCCCCTCCCCTATATAGTTATTTTCAACATATTATCTAGTGAGTATCACTGATGCATTTGTTCACCCTTTGTCCCTTTCATTTCTATGCTTCGCTTTACCCTTCCCCAAACAGACAGACTTACATAGAAGACAAAAAGTACAGAAATCCAAAACAGCCACCCGAGGGAAAAACACAAAAAGTAAAATAACCACAAAAAACTCATTTTTTTTTCTTGGAGTTCATTTTGATAAAAATCATTTTATATGATTTTATGGACATATTGAGCCTTTGTGATGTTCTCCTAAGAATATCCTAGTTTGGATTTTATTGCCACGCCAGGAATAATCGATTAGACTATTGTGCTATAGAACAGGAAAAGTTCAAAGGTTTTCTTCCTGGTTCTGTGCTCATGGTGTGACAGGGCAAGTTATTCATCTAACCTGGGTCTAAGTGAGCTATCACACAGAATATGGAACACAACTACAACCGTAGCTTAAAATTATTCCAAATTAGTGGAAAACTACTGCCTAAAGGAATATTAAGGGGAATCTTAATTTACAATATCAAGCAGTTTTTCAGCTACATAAATTTATTGTTCAAAACTTATTGAAACATTTCTATAAAATTCAATCCATGAGCATAGAATTAATGAATATGAAATAAACATTGGAAGCCCTAGATTATGCATGACAGAATATAGTACCAACCTGAAAGCTGACCCTGACAAAGTCATTCTTTTACTCCGTGGAATCACAAAAGAGTTCTTGAAAATTAAATAAGTGCTTTAAAAGCTTTCTGGTAATCTGCTAACCCTCTCCAATTCAAGGACAGAAAGAGAAGTTTTAGTCTTTGAAGCATTTTTTTCTATTAACAGTGCTAAAATATATTTCCTGGAAAATAAATCTGAAGTATGTATTTGTAAAAACGCCAAGTATATTGTCCAGGATAAAGGATATAAACTAGTCACTGTAACCTATTAATAAGAATTCCTATTCAGTTCTAGATTGACAGATTCATATATAGCTCTTCCTAATCTCACTAGAATTCCACTGAAAATTCTGGGCTACCTGTAGCCCCTGATATTTGGAGACATGGGTTGGATTTTGTTCATTTTTTTTCTTGATTAAAGAACAGAAGAGGTAGGAAGGGGAGAAGAAATAACACACTTGCTGGAAATAATTCCTTGACAAAAACACTTGGATCAGCAGATAGTAAGGCACCTCCTGAATTCAAGAGGCCCAGGAATTTGATGACAAGGGGGGAGAAAAATGAAGCTGTTTTTACAGGAACTTTGAAAAGTCACATTCTCATGTCCTTGGCACTGAAGGTGGCAAACTCAAGCTGGACAAGTGCATGGTGTTCATTTATGCCAGAGCAATCTCATGGTAAGGCACTGAAGTGGGCCTTCAGCTCGTTACGCTTTTCAAATGTTTCACGTAGTCATTTATCATTGTATGCTTTGAATAGGGTAGCAAAATACATGGGCATGCAAACTAAAATGCAGTGACAATATCACTTACTATATCAGTAATTAGCCTGGTATAATATTACAAACCAGATTGTTACTCAGCAAGCTGGGATAGATGGTCACCTGGTTAGAAACCTCTCCTTTCCCTAATAGAAGACAATGCTCAAAACAAGACAATTTGTTAGTCTATTAAAATAGCAAAATGTTTTCAATGACAATTTACTACTTTAGTAGATTTGTCTAAGCTTATTTATTTATTTATTTTTTATTGTGAAAATACTGAAGCTTTTTTTTTTTAATT